GGCCCTCTGGGTCCTCAAGTTGCCCTTTGACTGAATCCAAACTTCACAGAACAAATCCCCTTAATGAAAGGATTTGTTTTGTGAAACTTAGAGGGCCACACGTGACCTCGAGGCTGCGGGTCCCCACCCCTGATCTAGTCCTACCTATAACCGAAATGAAGGCTCACTTTAAGGTCCCTGACAAATCGTCATCCGGCTGCTGCTTGGAGACCTCAGGCTGGGGGAGCCCCCCGCCTCCTGCGGTTGCCCCCACCAGCTGGGGTGGCTCTCATTGCTGGGAAGCCTAAGTTGGCTTTTTGCCCCTGGTTCCACCGTCTGCACCAACCTGGTGCTAAGTCTCTCTAATTTGACCAGCCTGGTCCCTAGATGACAGACATCCAGATTCTCACCAGCCTGCCCTAATGACCGGAGGGATGATCATTAGAATAACTTGCCAGCTCTCTCAGGCCTTGCCAGAGCTCGTGCTCAGCTGGCACTGCTTTCAAAGGCCCAGGGTCACCTCCGTCCACGGGAGTTGGACTTTTGATTGAAGTGGGCACTTAATTAAGGCGGCTTTGGTAGAGAGGGTTGGACAGTGACCAGCTAGTGAGATAAAGTGTTTGTGTCAGAGTCTGGTCTAAGTGATGGAGAGAGACAACAAAAAGCGTGCTAGATAGACCCCTGCCTTCAAGGAGCTTATCGTCTAGTTGGGAAAGATAACACACAAGGAAAGCCCAGCTTCCAAGCACATAGTAAGAGGCTCCCCTATCAGAGCCAAGGGGTGGAGTCCAAGTGAGGTGGAGATGGGTAGATAATGGGGCTGTGGTGAGAGGACTACAGGAAGCTGCATGAAAGCCTGGGCCCTGGCAAGATGCCATCTTGAGGCTTTTTACAGACAGGACAAAAGCAATGCTGTAGCTGGAAGCTGCATTGGAAACTCTGAGAGCAGGGAGGGTCTTTTTGTATCCCCAGCACTTTGCGAAATGCCTGGCACACAGTAGGTACTTAATAAATGTTTATTGACTGACTGTTTACATGGTGCGTCCTCCAGGGAAGATAAGACTCTGGAGATCAGGATTGCTTGCCTTTTTTTTTTAGGTCTTAGCTTGGTGCTTTGTACATTGGATATGTAACTAAATATTTTGGATTGAATCTGGATTGTTAGTAGTGTGGTTTAATGGAGAGAGCAGTCATTGGACGGTGGGACCCAAGTCCTTCTCACGCTGTGACATTGGACCTCAGTTTCCTCCTCTGTACAATGAAGAGGCTGGCCCACATCAGGGCTCCTTAACCTTTTGGGTGTCATGGACCCTTGGGCAGTTAGTCTGGTGAAGCTTGTGGACCCCTTCTCAGAATCCTAGTTTTGGGTTTGTTTTTTTTTTTTTTTTTTGCTTTTTTGGTGAAGCAATCAGGGTGAAGTGACTTGCCCAGGGTCACACAGCTAGTGTCATGTGTCTGAGACTGGATTTGAACTCAGGTCCTCCTGACTCCAAGGTAGGAGCTCTATCCACTGCACCACCTAGCTGCCTCTTCAGAATCCTAGTTTTAAATGCATAAATAAAATATAGAAGATTCCAAAGGAAACCAGTTATATTCAAACATAGTTACCAAAATATTTTAAAAAACAAGTTCATCAGCTGGAGATGACCTTTAAAGTACTTTCCAGCTCTGATTCTGTGATCTTATAATTCCCTTGAGAAAGATGCTATAAGTATTATAATCCCCATTTTATAGATGAGGAAACTGAGGCCTTGTTTAGGTGATTTTGCCAAGAGTCTCACAGCTAGTAAGTGTAAGAAACTGCCTTGAACTCCAGACATTTGGGTTCCAGGTTCAGCAGGCTGCATAAGAAATGGCCACTTGACTTTTTAAGACGGTGCAGCTAAAATCAATTCATGTCTCTTCCCAAGTCTGCATTTCAGTCCGGCCTCAGGATAGGAGAGGATATGAGAGTGCCTCCTGGAGAAAAGCCCTTTCTGCCCATGATCAGGCACAGGGAATGATGTGCCAAAAGAATTACATCTGCTGTATATGTATAGCCTATATCAGGAGGGTGGTGGGAAGGAAAGGGGGGGAAAAATTTCAAACTCAAAAGCATATGGAAGTGTTGTTGATAAATCAAAATAAATTAATAAAAAACAAACATAATGATAAAAAAGGATACATCTGCCATTTACCAAGTGGGAAATTCGAGGCAGTAAATCAGTCGTCAGTGAACAAGCTCCTACTATGTGCCAGACAGCATGTTCATCATTGGGAGCGGTGTGAGGCTAAGGCAGTTCCTGGCCTTGGGGAGTTTACATTCTAATATCATGCCAACAGCTACCTTCATATGGGAGATATATATATATATATATGCTCAGCTGGTGGATGGCAGTCTTGGACGAGAAGGCATTTGGAACTAGGGGAACTAGGGGTGGGGTGGGCATGAAAGACTTCTTGGAGGAGTGGAAGCTTGGGCTCAGTCTTAAAGGAAGCCCAGGCTTCTGAGAGGGGCAGGCTGGCAGGGAGAGCTCTCCCAGCATGGGGAAAGTCGCTCAACCTCTGTGAATGCCAGCTTCCTCATCGGTAGAATAGGGGTGACAATGACACCTTCCCTCGCAGCATTGTTGCAAGAGTCAGAGGAGATGATAGTTGTAGAGGGTTTTGCAAACCTGGAGGTATTACATAATCGCAAATGCACAGAGACAAGAGATGAAGTGCTTTGGGCAAGGGATCCCAGTGTGGCTGAATCACAGAGCGTGTGCAGGGGAGTGAACTGTAAGTATCCTAGAGTCGTGGGAAGGAGCCAGGTGATAAAGGGCTTTAGAAGCCAAACGCAGGGTATTCTGTTTGATCCTGGGGATAATAGAGAGCCATTGGCATCTAGCAAGCAGAGGAGCGCCGTGGTTAGAATGGTGCTTTAGTAAGCCACCGTGGCTGAGTCAGCAATGGGGTATCAGAAAGAACCAGGCAGAGGGGTTGGGGATCCCCAGTTATCAAGGCTGAAGTGGCCAGCCACGTATCTCAGGGACAGGTGAAGGCAGAGCATCCCTGTGATAAGGAATCGTGGCGCCAACGCTGGTCCATAAAGTGGGACAATGTCCTGTAGGTAATTGGAAGCCGCTCAAGATTTTTGAGTAGGGGCTGTGACGAAGGCAGAGAAAAGTCAGATCATGCCTGGCTGACTAGACTCTCTCCAATTCAATTCAATTCAATAACCCAAGCCACAACCCCCCACAAGAGTCTGCATCACAGGTCAGTTCAATGGGCATTTAAAGCTCTATACAAACCTGGTCCTAACCTACCATGACACAGTCAGAGGGGCTTTCTTGCTGTCGCTCACACGTGACCCTCCATCTCCCATCTCTGCAACATTGCAGTGTCTGTGTCCCGTGTCTGGAATGCCCTCCCTCCTTCTCTCCATTTCTTAGAATCCCTTATTTCCTTGAAAACTAAGCTTGTGCCACCTTCTTTAAGAAGGTTTTCCTGACGCCCTCAGCTGCTGATGTCCTCACCTTTTGTCGATTTTATCTATCACTATGTTTGTACGAGTGGTCTCCACCCAGAGAGTGCAAGCTGCTTGAGGGCAGGAACTGTCTTGTCTTTATCTTTGTATCTCCAGTACCCAGCAGGTGCCTGGCACGCAGTATGTGCTCAGTAAATGCTCTTTGATTAAGGCCCTACTATGTGCCCAGCACTCTACCGGTGCCGCGGATAACAAGAAGACAAGAACAGTTTTAGTAGCTAGTTTTTTAAAATTTTATTAATTTGGTTTGATTTATCAACCATCACTTCTCCCCCTTCCTCCCCCCCACCCTCCCCAAGATGGCGAGTTAGTTTTTACAGAACATTTTACACACCTTAATCTCATTTGAGGGGCAGCTACTTGATCAATGGATAGAGCGCCGAGCCTGGAGTCAGGAGGACTCATCTCCATGAGTTTAAATCCAGTTCCACACACTTAGTAGCTGTGTGACCTTGGGCAAGTCACTTAACTGTGTTTGTCTCAGTTTACTCATCTGTAAAATGGGCTAGAGAAGGAAATGCTGAACCACTTCAGTGTCTTTGCCAGGAAAACCCCAAATGGGGTCATAAAGAGTCAGACGTGACAGAAAAACGACTTAACAACAACAATAACAACAAAAATCTCATTAGCTCTTCACGACTGCCCTATAAGTTAGGTGCTATTATCCCCATTTTAAAGTGGTTCAATGACTTTCTCAAGATCACATAGCTAGTAAATGTCTGAAATAGGAATTGAGCTCAGGTCTTCCTGACTTGAAGTCAGCTCTTATCCTGTCCATTACATTGAGACAAAGGAAGACAAAGACACTAAAAAAAAAAAAAAGAAAAATAAATAAGGTCTCTCCACTGCCAGAGCTCATAATCAACTAAGGCAGTGATTTTCAAAGTGTGATCTGGGGACCCAAAATGAAAACTGTTTTCATTACAATACCAAGAGGTTATTTGTCTGCTGAAATGCAGACTTTTCCCACTCTGTATCTGTGGGAAGCTGAGTTTTCTTCATATGCCTCCACTAAAACGACAAATTGCAAGATATTGAATGCAGAAGCATATAGCAGAATCCAGCTGGGTTTTATTAAGACAGACATTAAAGAGGTTTCCAAAAGTAGATAAAAAAAACCAGGCCCCTAATTTTTTTAATCAGTCAACAAGTATTTAATGTTCTTTGTACCCTCAGTTCTTAGCGCAGTGTCTGGCAAAAATAGTAGGAAAATAGAGTTATTTTTCATTTAAAAATATGTTATTTATGCTAACAAATAATGGATTTATTATTTCTGTTTTTAAATGAATTAAGAAACAGTTTAAAATGTATAGGCCTTACTTTCTAGTATAGCAAATATGGTTAGATATAACTTAAATAAAGAAAAGCTCTTTGGGGTCCTTAATAATTTTTAAGGGTGTAGAGGGGAGCCTGAGACCAAAAAAGTTTGAGAACCTCTGTACTAGGAGGTTAGGAAGATCCTGTTCATATGGTCCTAATGCAAAGTCTAACCAGATGTGGTTTTCTCTCCTAGGCTCCAGAAAATAGTGACAGCCCTGTCCAGAGGAGCCATAACCCCTCTGGATCACAGAGTCCCCAGGGCAGCCAGCCTGATCCAGCATCCCCCAGCCCTAGTGTTGTTGTCGAGAACATTCCTAATGAGAAGGAAGGGATGGCCAGCCCAGAACCGGTGCTGACGAGCAGCATAAATGGGGAAAACTCTCAAGGCAATGGCACCATGGAGACCCCTCCGAGGAAGCCGCAGCCCCTCAAGAGGGCCAGGAAGACCAGTGATGTGCTGCTGATGGTGGCCAAGCTCAATTCAGAATTACCCAAGCCAGAGCAGAGGACTCACCCAGTTGACTCTCCTGCCCATAAGCCTCCTTCCTCCATTCCAGAGCCAAAGGGGGATAAGAAAGGGCAACCTCCAGGAGACACTTGTGGTCCACAGAAAGCTACTGAAGACTCTGCCAAAAAGGCAGAGAAACTGAGGACAGTGGGCAGCCCAGGCTCCACAGATATGCCTCCCAAGAAGAGTGAAGGGCCTCAGATCAAAGTGGGCAAGTGCAGCAAGGTGCCCCAGACCAAGGGGCTGACAGGGGGTGAGCCCCAGAGTAAAGAGGACCTGGGGACCAAGCCCCATGCCAAAGGGGAAGATCAGGGAGGTGAGGCTGGGGTGAAAGGGTTGGAGGACAAAGCCCAAACACCCCAAATAAAGGGGGAGGGCCAGCCCCACACAAAAGGAGAGTCAGGGGGATGAGCCCCAAAGCAAGCTGGGAAAGGACACAGTGGGGACAGTGAAGGAGGCCCAAAGCAAAGCAGGAAAGGGAGACAGAGCCCATATCCAGATGAAAAGGTGGGGTGAATCCCTGAACAAATGGAGGAAAAGGAGCAGTTCCCAGAGTCAGGCAAGGAAGGACAGTGAATCTCAAACCCAGGTGAAGAAGGATAGTGAGCCCCAAAGTCAGGGCAGAAAGGAAAGTGGACTCCAAAGTCAGATAGGGAAGGAGTGTGGGTCCCAGAGTCAGGTGGGGAAGGGGGATGAGAAGGGGAATGGTCTCCAAAGCAAAAGCAGGAAGGAAGATGACTCCTCCCAAAGGGAAAGAAATGGGAGTGAAGCTCTCAAAGAAGGAAAGGAGGGCCATGGATCTCCCACCATTGAGAAAGAGGGAGGCACACCTGATAACAAGGAGGAGACCAAAGAAGCCCTGGTGATGATGGAGGAGGAAGAGAAGGCAGAGGGAGAGAGAGGCCAAAGTGTCGACCCAGACAAGGTGAGGATGCTGCCGTCCCTGGGAATGTGGAATGGCCAGGGTGGGGGTGGGGAAAGGTGCAGAATCTGCGGTGGGGAGGGGCAAGGGGAGAGGAAGCCACTTCCCCTGGGAAGAACAGAGTAGCCCTTCTCTATGGAAAAGATGGTAAGCTGGGCAAGGTTTCTTGAGGAGGTGGGTAGGGCTTTCGGGGCTTGGAGACAGCCCCTGTTTGGATCCCTAGAGGAAGAGGAGGAGGAGGAGGGGGAGGAAGAGTGGGAGGAGGAGGAGGGGGAGGAAGTGGAGAAGGAGGAGGAAGAGGGGGAGGAGGAGGGGGGGCAGTCTCAAGAAGTTGTCAACTTCCAGCTGATAGTCTGGGAGCATCCATGGAACGTCAGGCCTCTGGAAAACGTTTCCAGTTCAGGCCCTTGCTTCCTCCTTCCATTCTGGGAATAAAAAATGCAGAGGAGTCACTAGGCCATGGGACTTAGGGACCAGAACTTCCTGAGGTGGGTCCAGCCCTGATGCCTGACCCGTTACATTCAGAGCCCACAGTCTACAAGGGTTATGGAATGCCCTCCCCAAGGTGGAGTACCAACCCACAAATGTAAAATGTCAGGGGTGGTAAATTAGACTTTGATGCATGACAGTATCTAAGACATTGGAATTGCAGTTAGAAAGACTGTGTGATCCTAGACAAGTCATTTGACCTCTGTTTCAGTTCCTTCATCTTTAAAATAAAGGAATTGGGCCTGATGGCTGCTGAGGTCCCTTCCAGCTCTGGGTCATTCTATGGTATTATTACTTTGGGCACTCTGTCCACCACAGCAGACCCAAACTCATCCACTTCTCAGATGGTGTGCCTTGTCCTTGCTTCACTATAGATTCTCCAGAGAGGGGCTATGTGAATAGTAGAAAGTGTGGTAGGTATCCGTACAAGCACTCGGGCTGGCCAGCATCTTCCCTCACCCTTGCAACCTGACCAGCCTACCTCCTCTTCTGGGCACTTCTCTAGCATCTTTCACAATGTACCTGGTGGGAAAGTCCTCATTGCCAGTGGACCACAGCCGACTTACACTGGGCAGGTCACGTCAACGTGGCATGGTGAATAGCAGTCAGGGTTGGAAGAGCCAGGTTCAGGTGCCACCTCTGACACACATTGACTGTGTGGCCCCTGGCAAGTCACTTAGCTTATGAGGGCCCTACAAGCTCTCTAAGATCTCAAGTTAGAAGACTGATCAGCATGGGGAGAAGGAGTTTCTGCACTTGGAGGTCCCCTAAAGCTATGAAATCATAGGTCCAGTCCAAAAAAATCCCCACAAAAATAAAAAACCATTTATATGTGTATATATGTGTATATAAGCATATATGTATATATGTATATGTGCACATATAGCATGCATATACACATATATGTGTGCATGTGTATATGATATATATTAATATACGTGTGTGGTCAAAACCCTGATTGCATTGGCCAATGCAGATCCTCACCTGCTCGAAAGCTTAGAATATTAGAGATTATTTATACCGATAGTTCTAAAATCCCAAATTTGACCATCCCATTGAACTGATAGAAATCAATGAACAAAAAATAGTGCACATTTCTACCACATCTAAAACATTCCTCATAAGTGAGGACTTGAGTTTGACATCCTGAAGAAAGAGATATAGGTGGCAGTGGGTAGAGTGCCAGGCTTGGAGGAAGACCTGAGTTCAAATTTTGCCTCAGATACTTACTAGCTGTGTGACCCTGGGCAAGTCACTTACCTCTGTATGCCCCAGTTTCTTCATCTGTAAAATGGGCCTTATAATAGCACCTGCCTGTGAGGGTTGGTGTGAACATCAAAGGAGACAGTGTGGGTAAAGTGGTTAGCACAGTGCCGGCACGTAGTGAATGCTAGAGAAATGCTAGCTGTTGTAATCTTTTGACTCTCTTTGCTTGCTAAATTTCCCCCTTTATTTCACTGTCTTTGTGCCCAGGAGCCGGAGGACAGATGGTACGAAGCTGAGAAAGTCTGGCTGGTTCAGAAGGAAGGATTCACACTGGGTAACTTGTGGATTTGGGCCCCCGGGAGTCCCCTCACCTGTAGCTCTGTGTCTTGCTACTCATGGGACCTGGAGCAAGCAATGTCTGCCTTCCAGGTCTCTGTCCACAGCTGTCCGATAAGGGATTTGGGCCAATGATCTCCAATGTCTCAAACACTTCCCACATTCCCTGTCCTGAGGCCCCTCCCAGCCCTAACATCCCCTGTCCTGAGGCCCCTCCCAGCCCTGACATCCCCTGTCCTGAGGCCCCTCCCAGCCCTGACATTCCCTGTCCTGAGGCCCCTCCCAGCCCTGACATCCCCTGTCCTGAGGCCCCTCCCAGCCCTGACATCCCCTGTCCTGAGGCCCCTCCCAGCCCTGACATTCCCTGTTCTAAGGCTCCTCTCAGCTCTGACCCTCTCTGTTCTAAGGCCCCTCAGCTCTGACATTGTCTGTTCTAAGGCCCCTCTTAGCTTTGACATTCCCTGTTCTGAGGCCCCTCCCAGCCCTGACATTACCTATTCTAAGACCCCTGTCAGCTCTGACATTTTCTGTTCTAAGGCCCCTTCTGGCTCTTTCAGGTTCTAAGCTCTTTCCCTACTCTGCAACTTCATGTTCTAGGTTCCTCACAGCTCTGGGTTCTAGGATTCCATGCATATCATTTCATTCAAGCTGATGTGACTAGGCCCTAGGGGGAAGCAGTGAACATTATCCACCTCTTCCTCAGACATCCCTTGTGTCCCTTACCCCCTCACCGCCCCCAACCTCCCCTGTCTGTGTGTGTACAATACCATGACCTGATCTTCCTTTCCGGGGGGGGGGTCCCCTCTTAGCAACGGTGCTGAAGCCAGATGTGGGGACCCCAGAGCTGGCTGCAGGGCGAGTGAGACTTTGCATTGATGCAGACAAATCCATCACTGAGGTGGACGAGGAGAACATTCATCGTGTAAGTCCCCCCGGTTCCAGGTCTTCTTCCCTGATTCTCTGTCTCCATTAGGACCCCTCTAATTGTGAGGGGCATCTTCCCTCCAGAAACCCCAACCCCACTGGTGGGCTTTTTGCCTGGCCCCTCCATCCTGTTCTGCCTCCTCCCTAGATCAGGCCTGTGTCCACCACGTGAAGTTGGAAGGTTTGCCAATGGCCTTCTTCCTTGGAGGGTCCAGTGACCAGGGGAGGATCACAGTGTCATAGACTCTGAGATAGGAAAGACTGCACAGGCCCCTGAGTCTGATCATGACCTTTATCCAGAAAGTGAGTTCTTTATCTATGACTCTGAGATGTGATGCAGCAGAAAATATAAAAAAAGCCCTAGAAAGATCTATTTAGTTCTAGATGCATACCATAGGACTCAGATATGTCTGAGACTAATCCTGTCATTGAAAGTAGCTGTATTCTCCCAAATAATGTTCACAGAATCATAGACCCAGTACTAGAATGGACCTCCAAGGTCATTTTACAGAGGGCAAAACTGAGGCACAGAGAATTTTTTTGAGCGATTTGCTTAAGGACACATAGCTAGTAAGTGTCTGAGTCAGGATTTGAACTCCTGACCTCAAGTCCAGGGCCCTATTTCCCCGATGCTCACTTTCATATAAGATAGAATCATTTAAAATCCAACTGAATAAAATACAGGAAATATATTTATTAAGCACCCACTGTATTGAGAGGACTGTGCTAGCTGCTGGGGTGGAGCTGGGGAGATACACCGTTCAGAGAAGCCAGAGCCCCTGGCCTTAAGGAGATCACAGCCTAGTAAGGGTTAAGACCAACCCAGGGAGCTGTAAGGCCCCACATTACAGGGTAGGTCCATCGAGGGGTACAAGAAGTCTCATGGGGTGTGTGAGGAAGGTCTGGCTCATGTGGAGATGAGGGATGTGAGCCTTAAGGACGGAAAGACCAGCTGCCCGTTGGCAGGTGGTGGAGGGCCAATGATGGCTGAACATGACTGGATCTGCGGTTAAGAGTAGCTGTTTGTAGTCTGGCCATGGGGAAGAGCATTAGCATTGACCTGCTTGACCCCCAGGGACTGAACAAGGACCGGTGGGCGGAAATGATGGAGGCAGATTTCTGCTAGATTATGGTAGCACTCCCTGACAATGAGAGTTACTCCAGAGTGGAAGAATAGATTGCCTCCATCCCTGGAGGTCTCCAAGCAGGGCCTGGGTGACTACCTGTCTAAGATGTTGTAGAGGGGATCTTTGTCCAAGTATGGATTGGCCTAGACTACTTAGGTGACCCCACTGGAACGTTCCTTTCCCATAGCTTCCAAGCTGTCTGAGGGATATAGGTATTTCAGATATTTCTCTTAGTATATGCCTGGTGCCTAGCTTTGAACATTGTTGGACTTCATAGTAATAATAGCTAATATTTTATATAGCACTTCCTATGCACCAGACACCAAGCAATTACTATAATTTAAGCTCCACAACAACCCTGGGAGATAGGTGATATTATCATTATCCCCATTTTACAGATGAGAAAATTGAGGCAAACAGAGGTAGTGACTTGCCCAGGGTCACACAGCTGGGAAGTGTCTGAGGCCAGATTTGAACTCATGTTTGGAGTGTTATGAGTAGTGAGGGTGACTGAAGCTTTGCCCCAGAATGAAGGGTGAATTGGATGGTACATATTTAATCTCCCTCTGAGGATTCAGAGGGCACTTAGACTCCTACCTGCAGGGCCTCAGCATCACATCCATTATCATCACACTGTGGCTCTGCAGGAGAAGCTGGTTTCAGTTAGGACTTCTAAAGTCCCCTCCAGCTAGAACAAGCTACATTCTGCGGAGGCCAGATCAAGCAGACCTAATGGTGAGAGTTCCCTGGGGGCTGCGCGTCTCTCTGTGCCTTTCGTTTATGTCGGGGCTTTGATGTTCTTCCTTGTATCTGAGCCCACGGAGTCTGCTGACCACAGGCCTTAGCGTCCTTTCCTAGCCGTTCAGCGCGTGTCTCTGTGGCCTTCCACCCTGGAGGCCCCCAGGGAGGAGGGAGCCCACAATGGCTAACTGTGGGACCCTCCTAGGCCAACCCCCCGGAGCTGGATCTGGCCGAGAACCTGGCCTCGCTGCAGAGCCTCAATGAGTCCAGCGTCCTGAACACACTTTGGCACCGATACCAGGCCCAGCTCCTGCACACATACACAGGACCAGACCTGATCGTCTTCCAGCCCCAGGGCGCCCCAGCTCCTTTGTCTTGGAAGGTACGGTGCCAATGGGGCTTGGTTGGGGGTGGGGAGGAAGACTGGGAGTTATTGGGGAGGGCCTCTGCTCATATGTGTTTATCCACTGAATTGAATATAAGCACCCTGAGGGGCGGCGGCAGTTTTCTTGAGTCCTTAACTCCTAACACAGAGCCTCATCCAGAATGGGTACTCAGCAAGTGTACATGGGATTAAATTTAATTAATTCATTTAATATGTATTTGTTCAGTGCCTTCTGTTATTATCCACAATAATAATGTGAATAGTTTTCATTTCTGCAGCTGTGGGAAGGCTTGCAAGGAGGTTCCATACCAGATCCTGAACTGCATATTGGTGGGGGGTCATTTCACTTGTCTGGCTTCAACTTCATCTGTGAGGTGGGAGGGTTGGACTTGGGCTCTGAATCCCTTCCAGTCTGGACTCTGTGTGATCTTGGGCAAGTCGCTTCCATTCTCTGGGCCTCAGTTTCCTCATCTGTAAAACGAGGGAATTGGACTCCATGGCCTGTGAGGTCCCTTTCAGCTCTGGGCTTGGGTCCTGTGAATTCAGAGAGAGCTGCAAGGTTGGGGAGAGCCCAGGGCAATGCTACATTTCCTTCAAGGACTGGGGGCTAAGCACCTTGTTTCTACCTCTCCAAGGACAGCTGTGATGTAGCTGTGGCTAGAAGTCCTATTAAATCTGTCCCAGGTGACTCGGGGACTTGGATAAGTATGCATTGAGGAATGTGATCACCCTTTGAGGGGGTCCATGAGATCAAAGCTCTTCATAACGATGCTGAGATGTTTTAATTTCTAACATGGAAAACAGTGATAGATCTAACCCTCATAAAGAAAAGCCCTTTGAGGACACCTCAGTAATTTTTAAGAGTGTGAAGGGGTCCTGACACCAAATAGTTTGAGAAACTGATTGAATAGAAGACCTCTGGCCTGAGAGTCAGGATTCCTGGAGAAGGGAAGACTTGGGGAGGCAGACGGCTGTCTTTAAGTGCTTGGAAGCTGTTACCCAGGATTAGTTGAGTTCTGCTTGGCCCCTCGAGGGCGAGGTTCTATCTCGTGTCAGGAAGTACCTCCTGTCCATTAGTGCCCACTCCAACATAGATGGTTACTTGTCAGCACTCCATGGACTATGAGGCCATATCTGGCTCTGAAATTCTGTGATTCTGTGACCCAGGTTCTAGTCTCAGCTTTGCCCGTAATCCAATGAGATTATATTTTTAAAGTGCTTGGCACAGTGCCTGGCACATAATACGGGACAGATAAATGCTTGGGCTTCCCCGGTTGGCCAAGTGGCTCAGTCCCTCTGGGACTCAGCTGATAACGATGATAGATGAGGAAATAAACTTTGGGGCCATAGTAGGTGCTAAAACTTAGATTGCTGTGGTCTCTTGAGCAGCTGGGGTGCCAATGGGCTCCTCTTTCACGAAGGTGGTTATTCCATCCGCTAATGTCCATCCTCACCACCTTCTATGTGTACAGCTCATAGGATTAGAGGTTTAAAAGCTAATCCTTCCCTCTCCTGGCCATAGTCTCAGTTTTGCTTTCTGTGACCACCAGGTGGCAGCATAGACCCACAGTTGGGTCCAGAACTTGGGGAGCAGGTTGGGGGAACCCGGGGAGGTAGCAGCAGGGTCTTTGCTTCTGGTGGAGGTAGCCCCTTGCTTTTGGAACCTCTGGGAATGAAATGGAGAGGAAGTGGGAAGAGTGTGTGAGGTGTGAGTCTCTCAGGGAATGTGGGGCTCTCCTGGCTGGTGGTAGGGACCTGTCCTCTTGGGTCTTAGAAGAGATAGAAGTGGGGGCCTGACCCACCCCGGAGCCCCCTAACAGGAGGTTTGATGTCCTGGGGTTTGTCTTGCTGGCTTGGCAGGATGCCATAGCATGCCATTATTCTATCTCTCAAGGGCCACTCTACAGTGGAGTAGTGAGCATTGGGAGCCTGGAAGGGAAGTCGAGTCAGAGTCCTGGAGTTGGAAGAAACCTCACAAGCCATGTAGAGCAATCCCCCTCATTTTACAAATGGAGAAACTGAGGCCTAGAGGGATTTAGTGACTTGTCTAAGGTCGCGTAGGCAACTGGGATTCAAATTCAGGTCTTCTGACTTGAAAAATCATGGATTAAATTAAGCACTTACTTTGTGCCAAGCCTGCTGCAAATGCTGGGAATTAAAACAGAAAGATAGGTAGTTCCTGCTCCTGAGGATCCCACACTGGAACAGTGGGAGATGCCGCAGGGAAGAGGCTTTGGCCATGTGGCAGATGGCGAGGACTGCGGGGCTCAGAGGAGACGCTCTTTTGACTGCACACCCTCCCTCCTTCAAATGCTTCTGCTGCTTGTTTTTAGCTTTAAGTAGATTGGTCAATCCATCATGAAACATTTATTAACCATCTACTATGTGCCAGGCACCGTGCTAAATGTTGGGGATGGAAAAAGAGGCAAAAGATAATCCTTGCCCTCAAGGAGCTTACAATCTAATGGGACTAGATCATTTCAAAGTTTCACATTAAGGGAAAACCTAGGTTCTGGGTCCTGGTGGTGGGGTCCCTGCCACAAGCTAGCTGAGGCTGCTGCCCACAGCTGGGCAGTCATAGGCCATCCTGAGTGGGACCTGTTGGGTACAGTGGGAGCTGAGAGTCTGCTCTTGGAGGGGCCTCACCTTGGGTCCTCTTGACCTCTATGTGTTGATGGAGTGATATTCTTTCAGGGCTGATCCAGTTTGGGAGGCTAACCCTAGGAAACCTATTTTCCTTCAGGACTCACTTCCTTCTGCTCCTAAATGAAAGAGCTAATACAGTGTGGAATCTCCCCCCCCCCTCCAGGTGCCCAAAGGAAGGAGGGATGGCCTGGCGCCCCACGTCTGCTCCCTAGCCCAGAAGGCCTACTGGGCCATGCTGAGCCAGCACCAGGACCAAACCATCATGCCCCTGGGCAGGAGCGGGTCTGGCAAAAGCACTTGCTGTGAGAGAGCCCTGGAGTACCTGGTGGGCAGCGCTGGCACGTGGATGGACAGGTCTCAGGTAGAGTTTGTCTTTGTGGACACGGGTGCATGTGTATGTGTGTGGACTTGGGGGGCACACTTATGGTTGAGGCTTATATGGGCACGTGCATACACATGTACACACAATGCAACCCACATGTATAGGTACATACCAAAATATACATACATGTTTGTACACATGTATGCATAGGTGAGTATATTTAAAGAGATGGCAATGTCCCTCTTAGTAGCAATAGTTAGCTTTTATATATCAATTTAAGGTTTATACAGTGTCTTTCCCCCTTGCGCTTTGCACAGTGCCTGGAACATAGTAGGGAGTTAATAAATGCTTAACGACCGTCTGACTGACTTTACATGTATTATCTTGTTTAATCATCAGGACACCCCTGTGGGGGAGGGGGTGTGGGTAGATACGGCAGGTAGACAGGTTTCAGGGCACTAGTGAGCGTGAGTGGAAAAAAAATTACAGCTTTATTTTCACTGGCTTCTAACAGAAATTTAGCATCTCTTTTAATTATTTCAAAGTCTTATTCTGAGGAGTCCATAGATTTCACCAGATTGTCAAAAGGGTTCAGTATACAGAAAGTATTTAAGAATCCCTGGTGCAGAAAGTAATAGCTGAGCTGTTTCTTGAAGTAAGCCAGGGATTCTGAGAGGTAGAGGTGAGGGAGGAGGATATTCCAGGCAGGGGGGGGACAGCCAAGGCAAAGGTGCAGAGATGGGAAATGCCATAGATGTGGAACAGTATAAGGGCCATTTTGGCTGGGCCATGAGAATGGGGGGAAATGGAAGGGAGGGAGTTGGGGGCATCCAGAGGGGCCTGGAAGGAACACTGAGTGACTTGGTGCCTTGCTGGGGTTGCCTTTTTGCAGCAGAGAAGATCCGTGCCACCTTCACCATCCTCAGGGCCTTCGGCTCGGTGCTGACTGATCACAGCCACAGCTCCACACGCTTCTCCATGGTCATGTCCCTAGACTTCAACGCTACTGGCCGTGTCACAGCGGCCCACCTCCAGGTGAGGGTGCCGCTGCAGTCGGGGTGGGCTGGGCTGGGGTGCAGAGCCCCACGGACTCTCCCTTTTCTGTGTGACTGGGCACCGCAGGAGCCAGCTGGCCCTTGTCCCTGCCACCATCACAGCCACTGTCACTGTCAGCATAACTGTCCCTGGCTGGTATGGGAGCTGTCAGCTCCTTCCTGAGTTTTGTTCAGTGACCCAATTTATCTCTTTCAGGAGCAAATGCCCAGGCCTGTCTGTGCTTCTGAATATTGCAGGGATTAAATATTCATAAGTAAATATATAATTCAGCAGTTCATTAGCAGAATCTTAAAAGTGAAAGCTGAAATTAGACAGTTGCTCTCTTAGCCTTCTGTGGCAAATCCGTGTGTGGGGAACATGCGGCCTCTTTGTTCCCATCTGCCCCCTTCCCCCCTCCCCTCTGGAAATGTTCTGGATGGAACAGAACCGGAGGATGAGGTTCTAAGAAGGGCTGGAGGAAAGAGCCTCTAGGGATAAGAGCTCCGCTAAGGTTGCAGACGAGGCCTCTGGGTGGCCTGCTGCATGGGTGGAATGAGGGATCATCCATGTGGCCCCTGGAAAGGATGGTTCCCTGCTTTCCCTTCCCCCAATCCCTCCTCTTTCTTTCTACCTTTAAGGGAGCCTGAAATGCTGATTGAAATCAGTTCTTTGGGCTGAGGCATTGAAAGCCTCTGATAAAGAGGGGGAGAAAAAAGGTTATTAACACATAAGGACCATGTTAGCTATTAACATCTCGGCTTGCATTTGTTTATTGACTTCACCTGCCTCCTGAAGGAATGGGAAATAGGACAGGGGGCTGGCTGCAAGGAGACAAAGGTCTAGAGGGTCTGTGAAGAGTTGGGAGGGTAGGTCTGAGCGAGATGCCCCTGCAGGAAGCTCTGGTTAGACTGGAGGTGGAAGGGGCACCAGGTGGGGTACCCAGAGGCATGGCAGGCATGAGTAACTGAGAGGAGGTTGGAAACACTTAATGAGGGGGAAACGAATGAATGAATGAATGAATGAATGAACAAATGAATGAATGAACAATGATGGCCCCACCACTGTATTCCAAAGTGGCCTCCAGCTGGTGGGGAAGCATGAATATTCACCTGCTGTTTACCCTCTTGGCAAGAAGAGTGGACCACGGCGGTGAGGTCTTTCTGCTTCCCTGCCTGTGCCTCAGCCTTACTAGGACACCAGCCCAGGTCTAGGCCATGACTTAGCACCTCGGTCTCTATTTTCCCACACAATGTGCCTTGGGAGGTTGTGGGAATGATGCAGAGTCAAAGTCTCTGTCTCTGACTCTCTTTCTCCTCTGTCTCTCTAGACCATGCTCATGGAAAGAATCCGAGTGGCCCGGCAGCCAGAAGGGGAGGGAAACTTTGCTGTTTTCTCCCAGATGTTGGCGGGGCTGGATCTCAATACCAGGTAAGATCCCACAGGTGTGGAGTCTCAGGGCAGGGGGACAATGGTGAACCAGGGATCTGGCCTGGGCATTGGGTGCTTGCTCCCGGATATTGCTCCAGGCCTGAATGTTTGCTGCTCTTTTGGAAGGAAGGGGTCACTATTAATGGAGGTCATGGGGAAGATAAGTTTCACAGGTCCAGATCCTTCATTTTAGAAAACTGAGGCTGACAAAGGTGAGGTGATTTATCTGAGGTCCTCAAAGCAGTAAGTATCAGAAGCAGAATTTGAACTCAGGTCCTCTAACTCCAGATAGTGGACCTGGGGAGAGCGAGGAGGGCAGGTATGGGTGAGATGGCCCAGCAGGTGGCTCTGGCAAAGATAGGATTTGAACCCAGGCCCTCAGATTCCAAACTCAGTGCTTTTCAAGCTGAGGTTGGAGGGCTCACTTGTCGCAGATGACATGGAGGGGATGCCAGCATCTGGCAGGGGTCTGGACCTCTGAGCCCACCCAATTTTAAGATCTGATTCAATTTAATTCAATTCAGTAAGCATTTATGGAGCACCTACTGTATGCCAAGCACCAAGCTATGTGCTCTGGGTACAAAGGTAAGAGGGAAAACGGCCTCCGCCCCCATTCTACTGAGGTTATGGGATTATACTATTGGATTTTTACAGAGGAAGAAACTGAGACCCAGGAGGTTGAAATGACTTACCTGAGGTCACAAAAACCACAAACATCAGTGGTGGAATTTGAACTCAGGTCTTGTGACTCTGAGGCACTGGACCATTTTGTTTCCACAAATAAATTCTCTGATTCTGTACAATGAATTGGACTGCCATGTGAGGATGAGTTACCGGGGGTGTTGAGCCTAGGGAAGAGAATACTAAAATTGGGGCTGGGGGGAGGGGAGGCATGAGGCGGCAGGACCTTTGGTCAGGGAGGCTGTGGAGGGAATTCCTTCCTCTGGTGTGGGGGGGACTTCCTGCCCTCTGAAGTTCCCTCTTACTCTGAGATTCTGTGACTCGTTTCTGTGAAATTGTTTCTCCCTGTGATATAATTGGATGCCCATTTCACAGATGTGGAATCTGATTTGCCTGAGATGACACACTTAACACGCAACAATGCCCAATGCCCAGATGGAAATTCAGGTCTCCCAGCCCCAAATCCACTGGTCTCCGCTATACCCCATGGCAAGCTTAGAACCCGATGGAGTTTAGTCACCTGGCAGGCTTCCTGGAGAAGGTGGGGTGTGAGACAGGTTTTGAAGGAAAGTGAGGGAGACAGGTTTGCCCTGTGGAATGGGCCAGAGGAAGGGGGATATTCCAGGCAGAGGGAACGTAATGGGTATGAAGAATGGCCAGCCTTCCGGCTCTAACCTGCTATGCCTCTCCCATGGAATCTCTTGTGGGCCTCTGTATTCTCACCTGTGAAATGGGGATGACAGCCCTTCCCCATCTCTGTCACAGGGCTGCTGTGAAGATGGAACATGATAGTGTATGCAAACAGTGCTTAGCACAATGCCTGCTGCATAGTAGGACCTGAATAAATACTTGCTGCCCGGGCTTTTGCCTCTCCTCCCTCGCTCTGCCTCGTTTTCCCTTCCCCATCTCCTGGACCAGGAGTGGCAGAAGCAGCAGACTTGGCTGGGTCCCCACCACTGGCCATAGTGGAGAAACAACCAGTCAGAGAAGGCACCCTCCCCTCGGCCCACCCCCAACGTTGCTTGACTTGTGGCTCTCCCGCAATGGTCGCTGATGACTCCATTAGCTCCTTCTCCAAACTGACCTCGGTGCATGGTAATCAGCATTTCAGAAGCCTCGGTCTATGGGGAAGGGGGCCGCCCTGGCCAACAGCCCCCGGGCACCTGCCTCCAGCTCTGCGATCCAATCTTCCCACCACAGAAGAGGCTCTTCTCCCCAGAGATGAATTCACCCAGAAAGTGCTCATCCATTTTTTCCCTTTTTCTGATAGAGCGATAGTCGTTTGCTGCGATAGGAAGTATTCTTTCTTCTGGGCCTGACCTCTTGCATTGGGCCTCCTTTTGTGATTGCAGAAGGTCTGCTTTGGTAACTGGCTCTCTCCCCAAACTAGATGGTAGTCTAGATTTGGTGCCTGCTCTAGAGAGAGGCAGATAGGGCCCGGAGAGGACTGGAGAGATTCCAGATGAAAATGAAATGATGTGTTTACAAATGCGTCCTGGCTCCCAGGGGAATAGGCAGGACCCCCGTGGGAAAAGGCCAGAGGCTTTGGGGTTGAGCAGGGAGCTGGGAAGGAAGGGCCCTTTGCTTGTTGGGACAGCCATCATCATGGTGCCCCAGGAAGGGCAGTGGCTTAGGAATCGACCCGTCTCAATTTGACCCTTGGCTCCGATCCTTATCTTGAGAAAGCCACTTAACTCATTGACATGTGTTGGTTCCTCCTGAGAGTGGAAGTGCCTTGAGGGCAGGGACTATTTTAACCTGTCTTTGTATCCGGGCACTTGGCGCTATGCCTGGCACAGAGTAAATGCTTGTTGACTGGCCGACCTGTGTAGGCCTCAGTTTCCTTTTCTGTAAAATGAGGGAGGTGGACAGTTTGATCCCTAAAATCTATTCTAGCTCTGATTTTGTGACCCAATGATACAGGCAGACTCCCGGCGACTTCAGAGGCCCAGGCACCGTGAGCTAAGCATCTCTGGAGAGCGCCATCTTTTCAGTCTTTTCCATCATGGCTTGCAGCCATATCTCACTAGACTTTCTTAGGTCTTCTCTCAGGGCTCTTTGGGAATCCATGTCAGTCAGTACTCTGGTGAGGGAACTCCCCTCTTCCCCTGGAGCAAGAACAAGGCAGCTCATGCTTCCGTTTTATGGATGAGCAGACTGAGGTCCAGAGAGATTGTAGATCCAGAGTTGGAAATGACCTCAGAAGCCATTGCATACAGCGGCCCAGGGAGATTAAGTGACGAGACCACATGGGCAGTGAATGTCAGAGATGAGATTTGAACCCAGGTCTTCAAACTACAAGAGCCAGTGTTTTTAAAGAAATGTGCTCAGGGTGACCTGGCTTCAGTTTGTAGAGCTGGGTCTAAGGCCAGGGTTCTTTCCCTTAGACTGAGTTACCTTTTTTTGTTTGTTTGTTTGTTTTTTGTTAGGCAATGGGGTTAAGTGACTTGCCCAGGGTCACACAGCTAGCAAATGTTATGTGTCTGAGGCCAAATTTGAACTCAGGTCCTCCTGACTCCAGGGCTGGTGCTCTATCCACTGCACCACCTAGCTGCCCCCTGAGTTGCCTTTTAAAGGGATGAAGGGCGTAGGAAAATACCGTTAGCAGAGGCTGTTAACTTTCCTGAATAGGGTGGAGCATGAAGAAACATAGGGAAGCCTTTCTATGTCTTTATAGCATTAACAGCCAGGGATAGCTGGGGACGTGGACAGGGTTTGCTGCCCAGCTTGGAGTGTGATCAGGGTCCCAGCTTAGGAGAGACTTCCCTACTGGCAGGCAGCCTGGGAGGGCTGGGGAACTACCTCCAAACAGTCTCTTCGTTTTCCTATTTCCTTCATTAGTTTAGAAGGGACTCTGTCCTCCCATGGGGCTGGGCTTCATTTTTTTTTCACCCCACCTTGTAGTTTTCTATCTACTTGTGTTTTTTTTAGAAGTTTAGAACACATGACACATTTTTATCTCAACCAAAAACCTCCACTTCATCCCCTTCCAGCAGCTAGACAAGGCTACCCATTTTCCAGAGGAGGAAACTGAGGCCATGAGAAACACAAGACTCTGGATGCCTGCTTACGCAGAGTGGGGCTGGGGCTGTGCTTGCCAAAGGCTCACCAGGGACTCCCTCTCTGTATGGGATCATAGGATTTGGAGCTGGAAGGGACCTCAGAGGTCATCTGGATCACCCCCTTCATCTTATAGATGAGGAAACTGAGGTCCTCAAACAGGCAGTAATGTTTGAAACTGGGATTGGAACTCAGGTCCCCTGACTCTCCATCCTGTGCTCTGTCTAATGTGCCAGGCAGATGTCATCTTCTTTGAGTGGGTGTGTGTTTTTAACAAGGGCAAAAACCAGGCACCAAGTAGGGGAGGCCCCAGTCTGCCTTTGGGCAACTCTCTGTCCCAAATGATTGCTTAGGGAAAGGAGGTCTTTGTCCCTGAAGGGAGGCAGTGAAGCTCAGTGGACCAAGCCCTGGCTTTGGAATCAGGTGACTCTGCTACTTATTGCTTGAGTGGCCTTGGGCTGAGTCACTGAACCTCTCAGGGCCTCAGTTTCCTTATCTGTAAAATGGGAATAATAATCCTTGCACCACCTCCCCCATGGGGTTGTTTTGAGGAAAGTGCTTTGTAAGCCATAAAACTTAATAGGAATGGGAGCATGAAAAAAAGCTGAAGACCTAATCCCAGTCCTCAGGGTTCTCTGTCTAGCTGGAAAAACCACATGTGCATAAGTGAGGTTAATTAATGTCTCCAAGGTTGCTCCCACAGCTAAAGGTCTAAAGATTTAAAGGTCTAAAATTCAGGTCTAAAGATTTGTTTAAACAGTGAGAAAACAACATTCATGGATGTACTGGGCAGGATGCTGGGAACGGAGATCTCAGGGAGTGATGGAGGGACAAAGGCCTCCTTCTCAGGCCCTGGAAGTCATGGGAAGGACACTGACCTTGGAGACAGAGCACCTGGATGGGAGGACCAGCTCTGATGAGGTCTGGCCCTGCCCCCCTCACTATGAGGGCTTTTGGGAGGTGATCCACTGGAGACACTGGTCTAAGATACAGAACTGCTAGGGATGCAGAGGCTGAGTTCAATCCCCTCATTTTACAGATGTGGAAACTAAGGCCCAGAGGGTCACACAGATTGTAAGTGCCTGAAGTGGGATTTGAATTCAGGTTTTCCAGCTTCTTGTCCAGATCTCTATCTATAGACCATGCTGCTTCTGCCCAGCCTTGACATCCAGTTCTAATGTCCCTCCCATTTCTGACGTCCCCTGTTCTAAGGCCCCTCCCAGCCCTGACATCCCCTGTTCTAAGGCTCCTCCCAGATCTGACATCTTCTGTTCTGAGGCCCCTCCCAGTTTTAGCACTCTCTGTTCTAAGGTAGAACCGTCTGGGATTCTCTGGCCTGCCTTGGGAAGGTGTTTAGCTGTTTGCAGAGAGTGTATTTCCTTCATGTCAGTCTTGGTCCATCTCCATTGCTGTGCATGTTTGCTTTGGCCCTTGGCCCTGATGTCCAGCCTTGGTGGGTGCTGACTCCCCGGGAGCCCCAGGACAAAGACTGTCTGCTGGAGGTGGCCTGGGCACTCTGGGCCAGCTGATAGGGTTCCTCAAAGATCCTTGGCTGGCAGATTCTGGGCTGTGGCCAGCTCCAGCCAGGGGGGGTGAAGGCTGAAGGCTGAAGGCTGTGGGGATGCTGAGGGAGGGCTGAATCCTTTGGAGGTGGGTTGGCCAGTGTGCTGCTGGGCAGGCCTCAAGAGGGAGCTGAGCCTCCATGAAAGAGCCTCCCTCTCCCTCCTTCCCTCCCCCCTCCACACTCTGGAGGCAGCCTGGATTTCCTGAGCTTTTAGGCCTGTCTATTGTCTCCTAACACAACAGAGCCCTAAGTGGGAGCGGAAGACATAGCATCTTTCATTGAGAGAGGAAACAAAGTGGGCTTTCAGGGAGAAAGAGCAGCCGCAGGCAGACTTCAGGAGGCCCTGGTGTGGGCCTGGGCCCAGCATGCCAGCCCACTCCAGCAGCACTAGAGAGGGTGCCTGGGGTGGACCGCCCACCAGGCCAGAGCAGAGAGAGACACACCTGAGGCTGAGCTCAGCTGCAGACCTGGAGGAAGGCACGGCCTCCAAAGCAGGGGGACCTCGGCGCTCTGGAAAGCAGAGTCAAGGTTGTGGGGTTCAGTGGACAGAACAAGGGACTGGGAGTCACCTAACCCAACCTGCAGCCTGGCCCCTCCCACTTACTATCACCTGTGTGACTTTAGCCAGGTCATATCCTCTCTCTGGGCCTCAGTTTTCCTCTTTGGAAAAGTGAAAGGGTTGGATGAAAGGACCTCTAAGGTCCCTTCCAATCTGAATCTGTGACTATGATCCCAAGTCACCTAACCAGTTTCCCTCAGTTTCCCTCTCTGGAAATGATGAGGTTGGAGTAGAGCACATGTTCTTAACCATTTTTTTTTTTTGTGTAGGCCCCTCCAGCAATCAGTCTGGCAAATCCCATGAGTCCCTTCTCAGAATAATGTTCTTAAATGCACAAAATAAAACAATTAGAATTACAAAAGAAACCAATTATGTTGCAATGCAGTTATCAAGTTCATGGACTCCCCCAGTTAGGTTAAGAGCCCGTGGAGTGTATCTCCAGTGTCCTTTCCAACTAGGTCAGGGCAGTTAGGTGGCACAGTGGATAGAGCACCAGCCCTGAAGTCAGGAGGACCTGAGTTCAAATCTGGACTTAGACCAAACATTTGACACTTACTAGCTGTGTGACCGTGGGTAAGTCACTTAACCCCAGTTGCCTAAAAATAAAAAAAAAAAATTTAAAAAAATGCAAAAAAAAGCAAACCAACTGGGTCTATTATCTTTTGACCCTAAGTCCCTTAATCTCCTCAGGCCTCAGTTTCCCCTCCTATAAAATAAAGGGATTGGGCCTCTGAAGGCCCTTCTCATTTTAAATGTGAGATCTCAGCCTCTGTGGAAGAATGAGAGCCCGACACTCCTTCTTCGTGATTCCCCTTTTTCTTTCTTTCCGTTTCCCACATGGGTGGCTCTCCCATACCCCCAAGCTACCTCTTGGGAACTAGAGTGAGATTGCCTCTGGGGAGACATTCATGAGTGAGTGGTGCAGTGACTGGATTGTTAGCCTTGACTGGGCCTTAGGCCTTGGGGTCTGATGGGAATAGCCTTGGGCATGAAGTCAGAGGCTAGAGGACCTGGGTTCAAATCCCAACTATCCTTTTTACTACCGGTGTGATGTCAGGAAAATCATGTAACCTCTCAGTTTTCTCATTAGTAAAATGGGCATTAGAAGGTCTCTAAGACCCCTCCCAACCCTAAAACTTCTGATTCCCCTTGGAGGACTATAGACTATACATCTGAATAGTTTCTACATCAGCCAGAATCTTCTCTCTAATCTGTTGGCTTGTAAGTAAAGTATCTTAAATTTGAAAGCCCCTCCCGTATCACCGTCTTGTCTTGGTGGAGGGTCTTAGCAAACCGTGCCACTATTTCTGCCAAGAAAACCCCATGGCCAGTGTGGAGGGCAGAAGGGCTTGGCAAGAAATGGTCATGAAGAATTTGACATGACTAGGTGCCTGGACGCCAACAGCAAATCTGGGAGGGACTGCCTAGGGCATCTATTCAGTCCTACCTCCCATTTAACAGATGGGAAAAACTGAGTCCTGGAGAGAAGAAGTCCACTGCCTAAAGCCAGTCAGGCCACTAGCATTATTAAGGGCTTACGATGAGCCAGGCACTGTGCTAAAGTCAGGGGCAGAACCAGGACAAGAACCCAGGGCCCCCAGTCCAGCATGTGGACATCCCACGCTTCCTTGACAGTTTTCAAAGCTCAGCCCTTGGGAGGGAGGAGTCCAGAAAGACTGTGCTCCCAGAGAAAGCCCCTCAGTGCAGGCCCTCCCTGGACTTGGACCTGAGGTTAATTATCTACCAGGTGCTAGCCTGGGTCACCTCAGGGGTTTCAAGCACTCTCCTAGGCAGAGATGGTCAGTATATTTGAACAGAAACCCTTGTTCTTGAGGCTGTGAAATCACATCTCTTGTCTCCCATCCACGCTTTCAGGACAGAGCTGTACTTGCACCAGATGGCAGAGAGTCACTCCTTTGGCATGGGCGTGTGGGCCAAGGTAAGAAGAGGGCAGCCAGATGTCTCCTTTCTCTAGGAGGAATGGGGGGGGGTTATGGAGAGGGGTGGATTGGGTGGGAAGGCAAGGGTTGGGGGCTGGTTACTCTTCCTCAGCTTTCCCTCGGCTTTGGCAGATGGATTGAGTAGGAAGTCTGTGGCAGGCTTAGAATCTCATGAAAGTCAATGAGTGTTTGTTGTGTGCCCTGTTTTCTGCTTGGAACCTGATGTGGGTGTGTGTGGGGTGGGGTGGAGGATGGAAAAACAGAGCATGATGCTGGAGTGGGGGCAGAACCCTGGATTCCGACCAGGAGAGTGGAAGCTTCTGGAGGGCAAAGATGACTTCATTTTTGTTCTGGTATCCCCAGCACCGAGCACAGTGCCTGGCTCGTAAGAAATACTTGTTGTATTAAACGGAATAGAAGTAGAATCAGAAAGTCTGGGTGACCCTGGACAAGTCACCAGACTGGAAGCATGCAACCTCAACAATTGGAAAGAGCCCAGAGCATCCCACTTTGGGATGGTTTTCACTGATAAGGTGTTTTTCCTTATATCAGCTTTAAATTTGCCTTGATTTAAGCTACTTTGCTCACTTCTTGGGACATCAGTTTCTTTCAGAGATACAGAAAAAGCCTGTCCTTTCACTTGTGGTTAGGCTACTCTAGGAGGAATCAGGGTCCTCCTGAGCCCAGAGCCAGAGACTTTGGCGTGAGGGGCTCCCTGGGCTCTGCATGGTATATATCTAGGATTGGTACAGAGGAAAGAGCACTGACACTAGTCAGAGGACCTGCGTTCAAGTCCAGTGTGGGTGTTTACTTCCTGAATGACTGTGGGCAGGCCATTTAACCTTAGCATTTCTCAGTTTTTTCCTCTGTAACATCAGCGGTTGGACTAGCTGACTTCTGGGGTTCCATCCAGCAGCAGAGCTGTGATTCTCTACAATGGGGCTGATAATGCCTACAGCACATATCTCGCAGCTTTATTGTGAGTATAAGTGAAGACAGCATTTGTAAAGCACGTGGTCAGTCTTAAACTCTTACATGTCAGTGCCTTAGGGGTGAGAGTAGGGAGATGACTTCTAGAGAGGAAACACTGCAATAAACACAGGAGATCATAGGCTCCCTTTATGCTGGGGTCGTGGGATCATAAAAGGTTAGAGCTGGAAGGGCATTGGAAGAGTCCAAATACCTTATTTGACAGAGGAGGAAACTGAGGCCCAGAGAGGGAAGATAACTTGCCCAAGGTCACCCGGCTCATAAGTAGTAATCAAGGCTTGAACTTGGGTCTTTTGATGGTAAAGCCGGGACTCTTTCCACTACCCTGGGCTGCCTCCAATTAACTGAGGATAGGAATTCCTCCTTGGCAGCAGGGAGGTCAGTGTTATTGGCTGGAGTAGTCAAGGTTGGTTTCATAGAGGAGTGGGATTTGGGCAGGACCTTGAAAGAAGGAGGAGGATTGTAGGTGGCCCTAATAGATTTCAGAACTTGGACATCTTCAGTTCCCCAGGACTCACTGTAGGTGATGGAAAAACCTGCCTGAAAATTTGAACAGCCGTTACCCATGGCCAAGTTCACTTGCTCATTGGCATGGCCTGCCCTGGTGCCATTTAAAGTAGGAACACTCAATTGATCAATATTTATTGAGCACCTACTGCATACGAGGTGCTGTGGGAGACACAGAATCTACTAAGCTTCATTCCTTTCTTCCTCTTCCTCTAAGAATCCGGTTAGTTTTCGCCTCTTCTATGATCCAACCCAAGGGACGCGCCCTGTGCCCCTCAGCAAACGGTGTTATCTTTCTTCTCAGTTTTTCCAAGAGCCCTCTGTTCTCTCCTCTGCTTTGAAACATTTGACTTTGTATTATACTTCCCTGTGGACCTGCCCCTTTGCCCAAGAAGAATGTAAGATCCTTGAGTACAGGGCTTCTATTTTGATTGCCTTTGTACCTCGAGTATTTAAGTCAGTTTTGGTTTTTGTGTTTTTCTTTCCTCCCCTACCCTTCCCTCCCCTCCCCTTCCCTCCCCTCCCCTCCCCTTCCCTCCCTCCTCCCCTCCCTCCCCTCCCCTCCCCTCCCCTTCCCTTCCCTTCCCTATTATTTTGAAGAGCAGTTACTTTAAAAAGAAAAAAAAGATCACTGAACAGAGATTAAGAGCCCCTGATCTAGAGAGAGTGACTTGTGTATCTTTATTGGATGTTTATTGAATGTGTGGATATACATAAAGCACATCTGACAATGAAATGTATACCCGTGTGGGGTATATGCTTACTGAGCAGTATGGAGAATGCATCTCCCCTGTAGGACCTTATGGTTTACAAAGAACTTGCCTATCTGGAGAAGGGCAAGTAGAAGCACATTTTACCAGGGAGAGAACCGAGGTTGAGAGATGTCAGGAGACTTGGCTAAGGTCACACAACTGGTAAGAGTTGGGGTCAGGATCAGAATGCAGGTCTTCTGACCCCCGAGTCCTGTGTGCCTTCCACTGCAGTGCGCCATGCTTTAGGAGGTCATCATGGTGTGTGTAGGGAAGGTCAGTGCGGGCTGTAGTGGTCGGCTTATGGAGGGGGCACAGCTTTGCACCTCTAAAGAGAGCCTTGCAGACACTCTGAATGGGGGACCAGCACGCGGCAGTTCTGTCTCTTAAGGGATCAGGTTTCCAGTAGAATGACTCGAGGTCCCTGGAGCCTTCTTGGCTCTAGACTGTGCTTTGGTGAACTGGGGTATCTTCAAGACTTTGAGGAGGCTCTGTTTCCTCGTCTGCCCTTTATTCTTGGCAAGGGCTTGTGTGGGTTAGGACAAAGCCGCCTGCTGCAGGCCTGCCCAGGGACCCCACATGTGAGGCTAGAAATGAGGGATGAGGGCCCGACACAGGCTCACTGGCGATGGATACCATCTCATATTTTATCTTCATTATAGAGCTATTCATCAAACTGAGATGAATTAGCCTCCAGGAATGGAGGGTCCCTGGGGGACCTGCTGGGGGTGGACCTGGGGGGTTTGGCTGGTCACCTCAATCCATTAATCATTCTCAGCGTCTGGGCCCACATGCTTTCTTTTAACAGTGACTGTGGCTACAGGGCTAGGTTTGAAGGCGCTCACCACGGCGGCTGCCTTACTTCTCCATCTCCCCTGTGCCCACTTTTGTGTGCTGAAGCTGTGATTGGTCCTGGGAGCCCACTAGAGCAATGTTGCTGGAGGTTTCTGGGTTCATAGAAGAATGGAGCTTTGGGGTCCTCCCAGACACAGCCATCCTGACGTCCAGGGTGGGGGGAGGTGGTGCTTCTGGAAGGAGGTGCCAAGAGAAAGCTGGGGCTGATCCTACCCTTCTTCCCCTCCTGCCTCCAACCCCAACTCAGCCTTGTGTTACCTGGTTGAACTGGGTGACCTCTCTGGTCCCTTCTGGCAGGAAGTTTCTGTGAGGAATGAGCAGCAGTCTCTTGTCTGCGATTCCTTGACAGGCATACAGGAACCAGACAGTACAATAATCCATGTAATTACCACTTAGTCATGTGTAGATAAGAGATGTAACAGGACAGGACCATTTCCTTTTCAGTCGTAAAGCTCTCACACTATTTGTCTTTACTGCAAGGTGGCCCAGAGTCCATGGTCCGACATCTTTGGGAAATCAAAATGGACAGACTGGGAAACCAAGAAAGAAGCCAAAACTAGTTACAAATGCGTGATTTTTTTTTGAGAAAGGTAAAATGTGGCACCATATTTTAAGCACAGCTTAGAGGGCTCTGGAGTCTTAGGGGAGGGGTCTTAGTGTACATTAAGGCAAGCTTAGTATCCAGAACCTAAGACAAGAGATGGTCTGGAGGAATGGAGGCCAAGAGAGATTAAAAGGCTTGTTTAGGGTCACCCAGGTAGTGGGTGTCAGAGGTGGGATTTGAACCCAGGTTCTGTGACTCTAGTACTCTTGCTATTAGACCATGTCACCTCTGAGATTGAGATCATGTCCTTAGAGAATCAGGGGAAGGAAGTAGGGATATTTGACTGGAGAAGAGAAGATATAAGGCTCTCTACTAGGATCTGAAGGCCTGTTACATAGAAGAGGGAAGAGGCTTGCTTTGTGTGGACCTAGAAGATGGAGTGAGTGACAAAGGGCAGGATTGTCCAAAAGGCCGATTCCAGCTCAGTGTCACCTCCAAATGAAGGCAGATGTCCCAAGATGGGAGGGGCTGCTTTGGGAGGCAGTAGGTTTCCCACCCCTGGAATTCTTGAAGCAGAGACTGGTGGACCGCTGCCCAGGTGTGCTGAAGAATCGATTCGTGTTACAATATGGCAGCTCAGACTCAATGCCTCTAAGTTCGTTCTGACTCAGACATCCTATAACTCTGGGTCTGGAAAGCCTGGCCAATGAGAGACACCTGAGAGCCTTACAAAGGGAAGATACAGGGGAAGGAGGACACTGTGTTAAAATTTCTAAAGGGTTGTCATGTGGATGAAAGGATAACCTTATCCTACATTGGTCCAAAGGTCAGAACTGGGACCCGTGGCTGGAGATGACAAAGAGACAGATTTTGGCCTTATACAAAGCAGAAATCAGGCTGCCCTGGGTTGTAGTGAGCTCCCCATTCCTGGGCCTCAATGGCCATCTCTCAGGGATGCTGGTGTTGGCTTCCTTCCTGACAGACAGGTGACTTACTGAACCCCTAGTCTCCTTCCTGGTCTTAATTCTATCCTTTCCTCATGTTCCTTCCTCCTGCTCCCCTGATCAAGGACCTACTCCCACCCTCCATTTTGAAAAGGAAATGAAAATTCCCTTTCTCTTTGTATAATCTCCCTTGGAAGATCAGGCTACCTTTGTGAGCAGCTACAATCCTACCTTTTTAAAAGCAGTAAAGCTCATGCTTCCAACCTCAGGATAGTATTTTTGCACTTTACTTAACCCATTCTGACATGTGAACTCATTTGTATCATCCAGAGGGTTATTATTTACTGTTCCTGTTGTTTTTGAAATGAAAAAGAATGAAAGCTTTGCTATTTGGCTGGGAGCAAGTGCCT